TTCTTTTAAAAATTTTACAGCATTGGAAAAACTTTGGGACAGTTCTACTCTGCCCTATAGGGACATTATGAGTTAGAATCAACTTGAGGGCAGTGGGTTTGGTTTAGTTTTGGTTTATATATAAGGCATGATCTCCTGATCTCCAAAAATATAGTATACTAAATGGGGTAGTGCCTAAAGGCACTTGACTGTTAACCAGAAGGCTGGCAGTTCAAACCCACCAACCACTCCTCGGAAGGAAGATGGGGCAACTACTTCCATAATCATACAAAGGGCCCTGCATTTATAATTTGAACTGGGTCCTACAGATTATGCAGCCAGTCTTGCTCAGGGCTTTTCTTACTCAGTCTCTCTGAAGCGTTTGACATAGCTGGTCAAACCTCTTGTGATATATTTCTTGTCTTCATGGATACCACAATCTTCTGGCCCCCTTGTACTTCATTTTTGGCTCCTTCCTTTGCTCTTCCTTCTCTGAAGTTTAGGTACTTGGCCCTGTGCTCCTTCTATACTCACTCACTGGATCTTATCTAGCTTCCATGCTTTCTGTGGGTGGCTGCTGCTGCTAACAGTAACAAAAACAAAACTACAGCAGTGATAGCTACATATGAGTGTTTTCTATGTAGCAGGCATAAATTATAAGTGTTATTTCACTTAGTACTTTGAACTGGTCATTTTGCAAATGAAGTGTTCTGGGTGCAGAGAGGTTGAGTAACTTACCCAAAGGTACACAGCTAGTAGGTGACAGCCAGAATATGAACCAAGGAGTCTAATTCTAGACCTTGCTCTCTGAACCCCAACACTGTATAGGCAGAACCTCTCCCTGAGCTCCAGACAGTTATATCCACCTCCCAACCTGACATCTCCACTTGTTATGCCTAATTAAAAAAAAAAAAGCTGATTCTAACTTATAGTGACCCTATAGGGCAGAGTAGAAGCAGACTGCCATATCTTTCCCCTGTGGAGATGCTCGTGGTCTTAAACCACAGATCTTTTGGTTGGCAGCTGAGTGCTTTAACCACTGTGCCACCAGGGCTCCTTTGTATGTCTAATAAGACATATCAAACTTGCTCTGTCCAAAAAGCAACTTTTGATTTCTGCCCACCCTACCCTGCCCCAGAGCTCCTCCTCTTCTGGTTTTCTTCATATCACTAAATGACATGATTCACCTGGCACCTTTGCTTCTTCTCTTTTCCTATCACCTCACATGTAATCCGTTAGCAAGCCTCATAGGCTCTATCATTAATATATGTCCTGAATTTGACAGCTGTTCCAACTTCTGCCGCCTACAATCTACTCTAGACCACTGCCTTCTTATGGCATTATTACACTAGCTGCCTAATTAATTTCTACCTTCAATTCTGTCCCCCTACTCTCTGTATAAGGAGCTCTGGTAGCATAGTGCCTAAGGCACTTGACTGCTAACCAGAAGGCTGGCGGTTCAAACCCACCAGCCACTCCTCGGAAGGAAGTTGGGGCAATCTACTTCCATAGTGATACTGCCTTGGAAACCCAAGGAGGGGGTCGCTATGAGTTGGGTCCAACTTGACAGCATGTAACAACAACTACACTCTCTGTAAAAGAAACTTTGCTGGCATAGTGGGTAAAGCATTTGGCTGCTAACCAGAGGGTCAAAAGTTCAAACCCAACAACTCCTCCATGGGAGGAAGATGAGGCAATCTACTTCTGTAAAGATTCACAGCCATGGCAACCCAGTGGGGGTTGCTGTGAGTCGGAATCAATGGCAGTCTTTTTTTTTTTTTCTTCCTTTTTTAATTCTTTGTATATTCTTCACACACAGCCAGAGTGATATTTTAGGGGGTTTTAATAATAAATGTTTTAATGACATAGAATATTTGTTGTTGTTGTTGTTATGTGCCGTCGAGTCAGACCCAACTCATAGCGACCCCTTCTTGGGTTTCTGAGGCAGTATCACTACGGAAGTAGATTATCCCATCTTCCTTCCGAGAAGTGGCTGGTGGGTTTGAACCACCAGCCTTCTGGTAGCAGTCAAGTGTCTTAGCCACTATGCTACCAGAGCTCCTGACATAGAATATATATACCCAAAATTGTACAAATCATAAGTGTACAATTCAGTGAATTTTCACAATGTGAACATGCCCATGTAACCAATACTAAGATTAAAAAACATAACATTACCAAAACCCCAGAGACCCCTCTTGTGCATCCTTCTAGCTACTATCTACCCTCCCCCCATATATTCTCTGTACTGACTTGTAGTTGCACAGATTAGTTTTGCCTCTTCTTGATCTTCATATAAATGGAATCCACTTACCCAATGTATATATAGTTTGGGAGCTCTGGTGGCATAGTCTCTAAGGTATTTGACTGGAGGCTGGCGCTTCAAACCCACCAGCCACTCCTTGGAAGGAAGATGGGGCAATCTACTTTTGTAGAGATACTGCCTCAGAAACCCAAGGAGGGGTCGCTATGGGTCAAATCGACTCAACAGCAGTGGGTTCTTTTTGCTTTTTATTTATATATTGTTGTTGTTGTTGTATGCTGTCTAGTTGGACCCAACTCATAGCGACCTCTTCTTGGGTTTCCGAGGTGGTATCACCATGGAAGTAGATTGCCCAACCTTCCTTCTGAGGAGTGGCTGGTGGGTTTTAACTGCTAGCCTTCTGGTTAGCAGTCAAGTGCGTTAGGTACTACGCTGCCAGAGCTCCTTTATATATAGTATAAATATACCAAAATGTATGTATCTGTTCTACCTTCATGGATAGAGTTTCAATTTTTGTTTGTTTTGAGTAGCACTGCATGACCATTTTTTATGTATGCCTTTTGGTAAATAACATGCAAGCATTTCAGTTGAGAATATATCGTGGAGTAGAATTGCTGGGTCACATCATTGAGTGTACATTCCGCTTCAACAGATATTTCCAAACACATTTCCAAAGTGGTTATAATCACCAGCATCACACAAGTTTACATCCTCACTAAGACTTGGTATTATTTGTCTTTTTATTGGAGTCTTTCTGATGAGTATTTAGTGATATCTTATTATAGTATTAACTTGCTTTTCCTTGATAAGTAGTAGAATTGAGTACCTTTTCATGTATTTATTAGCCATGTAGATATCTTCTTTTGTGAAATGCCTGTCTAAGCCTTTTCCTATTTTCTGATTGGATAACTTTTTTTAAAAAAAATTGTGTTGTATGATTCTGTAGAGATTGTGTGTGTGCGTACTTCATTGGATGTATATATTGCATATATGTGTGCCTGCCTGGCACAAGACCAAGCAGTGTCTAGTTCTTCTACATAGGCTCACTATGAGTTGGAGCCAACTCGTAGGTACCTAACAACATTGCAGATACCTTCACTTTATGGCTTGTCTTCCTACTCTCTTATTGACGTCTTTTGATGAACAAATTTCTTCATTTAGTGTAGCCCAAATTATTTTTCTTTTCTTTTAGAGTTAGTGCTTTGTATGTCCCATTTAAGGAATCTTTGTCTATCTCAAGTCATGAAGACACTCTTCTGTTTTCTCTAAAAGTTTATTATTTTAACTTTCACATTTAGCTCTGCAATCCATATGGAATTACTTTTTGTGTATGGTATAAAATTTAGGAGTCAAGATTAATTTTTTTCCTTATGAATATCCAGTTAACCCAACATCATTTCTTCAAAAGATTCTCCTTTTCCTGTGATCAGAATAATAATTTTAAAGCTTAAATCAGATCATGAGGTGCCTCTTTTTAGAATCTTTCTATGGTTTCCCATTGCGCTTATAATACCATCTACACTTCTCACTGTGGCTCCTTGTCTGATGTCTGCCTCCCTGCTGACCTCTCTCACTGCAGTCCCTTCTCTCCCTTGCACTATGGACACTGGACCTGGTCTTGCTGTTCCTTGGGTGTTGGAAACTCTTTACTGTCTCAGGCTTTCTGCCAGAAGTGCTCTTTTTCCATGTCTTAGCCTGGCTTACTTCGTACTTCACTCAGGTCTCTGCTCATGCGTCCCTTCCTCAGAGAAGCCCACCTAACTACCCTGCCAAAATGAATGAATGGATAATATATACAAAAGCCCTCTGTATACATAAGCTATTATTAATGGTCTGTCTCCCCTAGTATATTATTCTTTGAGGGAAGAGTTTGTGTCTTGTTTGCAATGTGATACTCAAATATGATGAAGTTTAAGGTAAAGTGTAATGTGTATAATTTGTTCTTTTTCCTGTTTTGTCTATATTAGCCCTAGATAATTCAAGTCCTGATGTAAATGTTTAGTAATTTGGATGATGAGACATTATCAACATTTTGTACTTTTTTTTTAAGGGGGTAATACATGGTATTGTAACTGAAAACTTAGGAACTCATTTTAAACAGTTTACATGGAATAACCTAAGTCCAGTGAGTTTTATCTCTGTCTAAAGTATTTAGAAGATTTTCAGTAACTTTATATACCAGAAAAAAAACAAAGTCACTGCTGTTGAGTCAGATCCGACTCATAGCCACCCCTCCTTGGGTTTCCAAGGCAGTGTCACTAGAGAAGTAGATTGCCCAACCTTCCTTTTGAGGAGTGGCTTTGGGTTTGAACCACCAGCCTTCTGGTTAGCAGTCAGATGCCTGAGGCACTACACCACCAGGACTCCCAACCTTATATAGTGAGGCCCTGTTTTTCTTCTTTGGAACACTTGGGTGGTAGAAATGATTAATGCCTTCTAACCAAGAGATTAGAGGTTTGAGTCTAATCATAGTTGCCTTTGAAGAAAGGTCTAGCAATCTATATCCCAAAAATCAGCCATTGAAAACTCTGTGAAGCAGTGTTCTACTCTGACACCCATGGGGTTGCTGCCAGTTGAAATTGACTGGATGGCAGGAGGTTTTTTTGTTTTTTTTGTTTTTTTTTTAAATCTAACCTTACAACCTCCAGCCCCTGTATTACCTGGATGTCTTGTTATTAGATATGCTGCCCATTATAACTAGACATGCTTGTATCTGCATTTTAACAAACAATGGTTTTGTTCTTCTGTTTCTTGATAGCTACTGCTTCTTGGGATACATTTCTCATGCTATGGAATTTGAAGCCACAAGCTAGAGCTTTCAGATTTGTGGGTCACAAGGATGTGGTAACCAGCGTGCAGTTTTCTCCACTTGGAAACTTGTTGGCATCTGCCTCACGAGACAGGACCGTTAGACTTTGGATTCCTGATAAGTAAGAGAAACAACAACAGCAAAAAACACTTGATATGCTTTGGATTTAGAAATGTGAAAGAAAGTGGGAGGCTGGCTGATCCTTATGCACTTTTTGGCAGTGCCCAAACTCCCCAGTTATCTCGCCTATTATCTGAATCATATAGATTGTGTATTGCCATTGTTATAAAGACTTAACTATTTGACACAGCTTTTCTCTCATAATTAACTCATAATTATGTCTTCTATTTGAAACAGTTTCTAACTGTGTAAATGTGCTGCTGCTTCTTGTTCTTTGCTGTCGGGTCGGACCCAACTCATAGTGACCCCTCCTTGTGTTTCTGAGGTGGTATCTCTATGGAAGTAGATTGCCCAGCCTTCCTTCAGAGGAGTGGCTTGTGGGTCTGAAGCCCTATCAGCCTTCTGGTTAGCAGTCAAGTACCTTAGGCACTATGCTACCAGAGCTCTGTAAATGTGCTTAGTATGACTTAAGTTTTTTTGGAAAGTGGTGTTTACAAATCCTTTTATAAATCTGATGTAAGCTTTAGATTATTTTCCTAAAAAGATAGACATTTACGTATATAACCAGCATTTTATATTTTAGAGAGTTTCTTAGCCTCTTAATGCCTAGTCATGGATCCTTTAGGAGCTTTTAGATCCCTGTTAAAACTTCCATGCCAGAGCTATGATTGGTATCACTTATTGTCAGGCTCCAGAATTTTCTTGTTAAGTTAAATTTTTAACTTTGGGAAATTGGAGCTATGTTTTTGCTGTCTTATTAAAGGAAATTTCTGACAGAAGTATAAATTGTTGCGTTTTTAAATAAGGCTGTTCAAACCCTATCTAATAACCCATCTAATTTAAGCAATTACTGATCCATGATAAAAAATTTTTTTACAAATTAAACTTTCAGTTATGTAAATTTTTAAGCATATATGAAAATAGAATGAATAGCACATAACTACCTCCATATACCAATCACCTGGCCTCAACAATTATAAATATTCTGCCCATCTTGTTTCATCTGTTCCACCCAAATAGCCCCCCCCCCCTTTTTTTTTGGCTGGAGTCTTTTTAGAACAAATTCCATGCACCGTATCATTCCCCCTATAAAAACTTTAGAGGATAGGAAGTTGAGCATTTTCTTTGACTCTATTGTGATAGGAAGGAGCTCTGGTAGTGTAGTGCCTAAGGCATTTGACTGCTAACAAGAAGGCTGGTGGTTCAAACCCACCAGCCACTTCTTGGAAGGAAGATTGAGCAATCTACTTCCATAGTGACACAGCCTCGAAAACCCAAGGAGGGGTCGCAATGAGTTGGATCCAACTTGACAGCAGTGAGTATTGTGATAGGAATTGATTTGAGGTATGTGATTGAATAGGCACAGGCACTCACAAATGAAAGAAAGCTCATGGGGCATTTCCCTGCTGCTGGATGCTTTTTTCTGCACCGCTTAGGGGAAGGAAACTGCATGCTGGGAAGTCTATACATGATCCTGATGGTAGTCTGTACATATCCTGATGGAAGTTGCACAATGTCACTTCTACCACATTTTCTTCAGTACATGAAATGATAACATGGATGGCAGTATAGAAAGGAATTGTAGGGTGAAGACACTGGTTTGGGTTCTGAGAGAGAAGTATTTTCTGAAATTCTTAGCTTTGGGAAATTGAGACTAGTGTTTTTGCTGTCTTCAGCACAATGCAGGCCTACCCCCATTACTAATTCAAGGACATTTCAGTGAACAAACTACACAAGGACAGATGAGCTAAAAACGTGCTCCTATTAATTTAATACTTATTTAATTTAATACTCTGATGGTATAGCGGTTAAGGCATTTGGTTGCTAACCAAAAGGTCAGGGTTCAAACCCACCAGCTGCTTCATGGAAGAAAGATAAGGCAATCTGCTTCTGTAAAGATTTATAACCTTGGAAACACTATGGGGATCACTATGAGTCAGAATCAACCCGATGGTAGTGAGTTTTGGTTTGGAATATAAGTATAGCAATTAGGCTTTTGCATATGTCACTAGTTTCCCTTCCTAATAAATCATAGTAGGGCCAGGACATTGGTAGATCATGGCAATAGAAATGAAGCTGATGTGTCCATTATCTATTGCTACATAATAGTCCCTTAAACTTTATAGCTTAAAATAATGACTGTCATTTCTGACAATTTCCTGGGTTGTCTGGATGGTACTTCTGCCCCATTTGGTATTAACTAAGATTAGTCATTCAGCTTCATTAAACTGGCAGCTAGGCTGGACTTGTCAAAGGCCTTAGTCACATGCCTGGGACCTTGGTGCTGGCTGTTGTCTGGGCAACTTGGTTCTACATGTGCACTCTCTCCAGCAGGGTAGCCTAGACTTCCTTACAGTATGGCAGCTGAGTTCCAGGAGGGTAAAAGTAGAAGCTGCTAGGTCTTGTAAGAAATAGGCCTGGAAGTTGCACAGTGTCACTTCTGCCACCTTCTCTCTCTGGTCACAGTAAGTCACAGTGCTAGCCCAGGCTCAAAGGGAGGAAAAATAGACTGCCGCCACCTCCTGAAGGGAAGAATGGCATGTGTGCACAGGGATGATAAGAATTCTTGGCACCCATATTTGCAAACAACCACTGCAGTGGGTAGCTGGAAGGCTAAGAAAGGGCAAATGGGAGCAGGCATAGAAACAGGTCTGGCCTGGGAATTACTGACAGGAGAATTTGGGCACAGAAAGCAAGCAAGTAAACAGGTGGGAGACAGCCTACATTGAGGCAAGCTGGGGAACTAGAAATTAGTTAAGCATCAGGCACAGCGAAAACGATGCTGTCAGATCTTGATATCTTATGTGCTTCCTTGTTGTTGTTGTTGTTATATGCTGTTGAGTCGGCCCCAACTCATAGCGACCCCTCCTTGGGTTTCCGAGGCAGTATCACTACGGAAGTAGGATTGCCCAACCTTCCTTCCGAGGAGTGGCTGGTGGGTTTGAACCGCTAGCCTTCTGGTTAGCATTCAAGTGCCTTAGGCACTATGCTACCAGAGCTCCTTATGTGCTTCCTAGTGGGACAGAATTTAATGGTTAGGCCAGCTTCCAGCTGAAAGAAAGAGCTATTCAGAAAGAAGGCAAACAGGTTAGCCTGCTGGAGTGTAGAGTGTCGAACTAAAGATCAAGGCAGATTTTGATGATACTGTCTGTCTCTTGGCTTCCTGGTCATTGTGAGTGCCAAATCTTTTCTGCATGCTTTCTCCAGGCCTTATACTTGAATTCAGCACAAACAGTACTTTCGACTTTTACTCATAGAAATCTCCCTTGAAACCTTACTGAACTAGTCACTGATTGCTCCCTCTAAGTTTTCAAAAAATATTAATATTGAAAGGTTATTTTAGGTATAAATCAAATATGTATTAGGTGTATAAATTTATGATAAAGTCATGTTTACCTTCTACTGGAAGGGTAAGCCAGGTGGTTAGACATTGCCCCTCCCCAGTGGAACTCAGCAGAGTGTGTTGAGCTCATATATGCCTGACACTAGGAGCTCTGGTAATGTAGTGCCTAAGGCACTTGACTGCTAACCAGAAGGCTGGCAGTTCAAACCCACCAGCCACTCCTCAGAAGGGAGGTTGGACAATCTACGTACTAGATACTGCCACAGAAACCCTAAAGGGTTGCTATGAGTCGGGTCCGAGTCGATGGCACATAACAACAACAGCAATGCCTGACACTGCTCTAGTTGCTGGGCTTATAATAATAAATGAATCACGATTCCTGTCCTCAGAAAACTTACTGCTTAATAGGAGAGAAACAGGGTTGTTTTTTCTTTTTTTTTTTTTCCCTCCAATTACTGTACAGTGTAATAATCCCAGTAGATGTAACATATAGAAAGCAATTAAGCCTGTCTAAATTAGTCTGGGGAATCTGGGGATGGGAGAATAATCTAGGCTGAGAAAATGACAAGCAGAGATGTGTTTGAAACCCTGTGACTGTTCTCAGAGTACAGAGTTCAGGTAGTGGCAAGAAGCGTGGCCAGAGAGCTTGAGCATTGTGCTTATGTAGAGGGGAGCCAGTGACTCATTTACTCTGGGATTTACATGCCTGGAGTTACATTTTAGCAAGGTCATAAACCCAGTGTGTATGTGACCGGGGGATAGAAAGGGATGGGTAAAAGATTAGAGCAGGGAATCCAGATAAGAGGCTTGTGGAATAATCTAGGTAAAGGTTAATTGAGGGTATGTCTACACTGTGTCCCTGGGATAGAAAGAAGAGGAGGGATTCAAAAGATATTTAGGAAATGAAGATGATATGGTTTGTTGACTGACTGGCTACGAGAGGAGAGAAAGAAGGAGTAGTTGAGTGTGACTTCCATGCTTCCAGCTTCCCCCCAAAAAAACCAAACTCATTGCCATCAAGTCAATTCGACTCAGCAATCCCTCCTTGGGTTTCTGAGGCAGTATCTCTATGTAAGTAGATTGCCCATTCTTCCTTCTGAGGAGTGGCTGGTGGGTTTGAACCACTAGCCTTCTGCTTAACAGTCAAATGCCTTAGGTACTTTGCCACCAGAGTTCCTTGCTTACAGCTTAGAGATGGGAAAATGTTACTACAAATAACCAAGGTGTAGCAATGCAAGGTGAAGGGGTGGGTGTGGGAATTCAGTGTGAACATGTGCAAGTCTGAGATGGATATATTGTGACTGCAAAATTCTGTTTCCTGATCTTTTTTCATTTTTTCAAGTAGTTATGACAATTTTCCATATAAACTATCACTAGTATAATTTTTGGGAGCTCTGGTAGCATAGTGGCTAAGACACTTGCCTGCTAACCAGACGGCTGGCGGTTCAAACCCACCAGCCACTCCTC